CCTTTGAATAACTTATCCTTAAAAATCCCATCCCTAGACTCATGGCCCATACACACTTGAGAGTGATGTGAAAATGGGAGGAGTGTGCTCTAATAACAGCAGCTCTGGGCAGCTAACATTAGAGCAATGGAAAACTATAACAAAAATAGTTTTTCTTGTGAGAAACTCCATAAATTAACAGGAAGAAACTTCTGTTTCTCTATAAAGACTGGTGAAAAGACTGTAGCAAGAATTGGGACTGTTTTAACCATCAAAGTTCCAAAGTTTTTGTCTCTTTTGTCATGTGAACAAGGGAATAGTGGGTAGACAGGGGATGAAAAGGTTTTTCTGGAAGTTTATTCTGGTGTTCTTATTGTAGTTTGTCAATAAACTTTCTTTTTTTTTTCCCTTTTAAGTTTTATGCCTGTTTTGCTCTTGTTCTAATCCATATCTCACAGCAAGAAATAAGTAATTTTCTTAGTTATTAGTTTAAAACCACGACAAACCCTAAAAGGAAAACAAGTGTAGTATGCCTTGACTGTGGGTATTTTAGTGGGTAGAAAAGGGTGGTAGAATTTTTCAGAGCTGGATTGTGGTATAGCAACAAATACACTTTTTGCATTATTGTCAATTGTGAGGACTGAAGTAAGTGGGTACCTCAATAGGGTAAAAATCAGAAATTTAAGTTGAAAAAGACTAAATTATCCTACACATGCTGTCTACTTTCACAGTTAACACAGCATTTTCTTCTCCTGCCCTTTCAAACTGACTGGACCTTGCTCCTACTAGTGACCCCAAGAATGAGAGTGGATGTTGGTTCTTGTGGAAATAGTAGTTTCGCAACAAGATTAACTTGGTCCATTCTTCCCTGCTGATTACCAAACAATGGTTTATAAAAAGACTAGATTTCCTAAGCCTTGGCTGTACATGAAAAATAAAAATAGTGGTTACCTTTCATATAAAGGACCTCAATATCCCAAGCCCCATATTCTCCATCTGCTTCAGGGTAACAAAAGTACATACTTAATTTTGTTGTGTTCTATCACCAACTTCCCTCAGTAAGTAAGTAAGCCCTGTAGGTTAATGATGGCATTTAATAGTGGTAAACCAATCCATATCTACTTTATAAATCATGCTTGTTCAGCAGTTTTACTTATTTCTCTGCTAGGATTGAAAAAAAGCCTCCAGTCCAACAGCATTATAAACATTGTTTCCTTTGGAAGACGAACAAGTATGACTGGCTTCATACCACACAAAAATGCTCAAATGAAGGGGGGTATCACCCACCTATTTATAACCACCCAGTGTTACCATGTAAGGCTGAATGAATTTTAAAAAAAAGTTCTAGAACTGACAGGAATCTCTATAAACTTTGCTCTCTAGGAGACAAAACAATAACATTCAGCCCATATTAAGATGATTCTTGGTCTTAGATTGGTTCAAACCATTTTGGGTGTAATTATAGTGGACCTTCTGTTTTTTAATATTATGAAAGGTCTTTTTCATATTTCATAAAGCTCTAGAGAGGAACATAGTTTAAAGGTAAGTACAGCTAAGAAATAAAAACAATCAATCTTTTGCTATTTACTTCATGCAACCTTAAGCTGAAATACAAGCCTCCCAAGCTTCTTCTTCCTGATTCCTTTTAAAAGCTGTAATAAGTGTATAGTTTGCAATGTGTTTCCTCCTCTTCCTTTTTTTATCTGCTTGCTGAATTTACACTTATTAAATTGTGCACTTCAAGGAATGAGTCTGAGTCTTGAGACAAATGGATTTTCTTATTTCCATTTTGCTTCTTTGCCCTTCAGTTTCCCAAAATACGGTGGCTGTTGAGAATCATTACTGCTTTAGAAAAAATGCCAACAATTTATATTGATAGTCTGACCAAATTGGGGTATTCAGTGAAATGGAGTGCCGGACAATGGGAAACTTTTGGCTATTTCCTTACGGCATGCTACAACAGGAAATACTCCTAAAATATAAGGGGCAATATCCAGGGAGATTTTCAAAGTGAGCTTATGGGTGCCTTAAGACAGGTCAGATGAAGTATAAAACCAAAAGCAGCTCATTTCAAGGCCTACAGTAGCAACTGAGTGGCAACTGAGTGGCAACTCAGGTGGGAAGATGATTATCAAAACAAAACTAAATCAGACCCCAAGGAAACCAAAAATACAGATATTTCAAAATTTATAGCCTAAAAAAAACCCAACAAACAAATAAACAAAAAACCCATCCAGAGATAGAGGCCTGTGTTACAAAGATCTAAACTGTGTGGAAGACATGTTGAAATAGATTTTTAGACAAAGCTACACATAATCATACAGAAAAAACCTTGATACTTGAATCCTTTTTGGGAACAGTTCTAGTATAGTATACACACTTTCCTCTTGTGCTGCTGATATATAAATTAAGGATAGAAGATACAAATTAAGTCAAACATGTCAGTGGAAAATCAAAATAAAAGTGCTTTCATTTGTCTCAGCTACCAAATTCTGACATGGAAAAAAAGCAAGAGAAATCTGGTAATGGCCATTATAAAAGATTAATTAAACTCAGGAATAATATCAGTAATAATAAATTGTAAAAAGGAACACATTTACTTCTACTAAATTTCAAAATGGAGAAAATGAGCTAATTAGAGGAATCTACATTTGGAGGGGACCATTTTTCTTCAGATAAAAAGAAAAGTGCAAAGTTACATGCACTAAATACTAATTCTCACAACCCAAAAGACACAGCTGTGTTTTGAAGACACAGCGAAATTGTAATTATCTAATTTGGCTTAGTAAGAGCTACTTTTTCTCTTTTTTTTTGCCCACAATACATTTATTCTTTCTGCAAAAACAGTGTAACAAATTCTAAAACAGAAAAGGAACATGCTACTGAGATGCAATACAAGAACACACTGATGATAAACATAACATACTTTAGGATTACTGCCTTCAGTAATCAAAACTTACATTAATCTGTACAAAGAAAATAGTATCTTGATAGTAAAAAGAAGTGATATCTTCAGTTTATTGACAAAACAGGAGCAGGCACTCTAGGCCCCAGAGCAGGTTTGAACACCATCCTGGAAAGAACCTCCTGAAATTCTGAGAATCTGAATGTTCATTTTTAGCATTACAGAAACAAACCAAATAACTACTAAGTAAAACTTTATAAAACCTATTGAATGTACCAACATTAATATAGAATACTGAGAAGGTTTTTTTAGGGAGTTTTTTTTTTCCCCTTTACATCCAAGAAGAAATTCAACCATCTGACTGACATATAATGGTCTTTCACTAGGATAATACCGCAGTAGAAGATTAACTTATGAAGAAAACAAGCTCTTAATTACTGTTGCTGTCTGCTGACAGAACTTCCATCAAACTGTTGAATTTTATAGTGCTCAGGCACACAGGCACAAACTTTTCTTTTTTTAATGGTATATCTTAGAAGAAGAGTGATAAAGATGGATGCTATTTAACCCCCCAAAAAGTCATGTTCTATAGCTACCTTTGGAAGCACTGCAGTCAGGTATAACAGGACACGAAACCTATACCATAGTATCTTTTAATTTTTAAATAATATTTTGGTGAGGCCGTGGTACAGGTTGACCAGAGAAGATGTGGCTGCCCCATCCCTGGAAATGACCAAGGCCAGGTTGGACAGGGCTTGGAGCAGTCTGGGATAGTGAAAAGGAGACCCTGCCCAGGGCAGGGGTGGAACTGGATGAACTTTAAGGTCCTTTGCAAGCCAAACTTGTCTATAATTCTATGATCTTATGTTTCTTCATATGGTATGGAACAGGAAAATTGCTGTAAGGTACTGTTTCACTGGCATAATGTTACATCTTTTTTTATTCTATGACTTTTAATGTACTGTTCATTAATTATCTATCTACTAGATACTGACACTGTTCTGTTCACAGAAGAGGTTGGGTAGGGAAATTAACCCCTTGTTTTCCCAATTCATCACAATGTGTCATTCACAACTCAGCTGCCTGCCTTTACTTCAGCCTCTTTATGCCACATCCTCTCAGAGAATGGCACAAAGGCTTATGTCCTCCTGCCCAGCCCACGGCTGGTGTGATCCTCACTGTCCTGCCAGTTCCTGATTAATCTCCATACTTCTCAGTATAAGAAAGACAAGGAGCTACTGGAGCAGGGCCTCAAAGGTGATGAGTGTGGAGCAGGTCTCTGATGAGGAGAGACTGTGGGCACTGGGGCTGTTTATTCTGAAGAAGTGAGGACTGAGAAGGGACCTCATTAATGCAGATATCTCAAAGGAGTGCCAAGAGGAGGAACCAGACTCTTTCCAGTGGTACCCATTGACAGCACGAGGAGCCATAAACTAAAACACGAGAAGTTTCTTTTTAACATGAGAAAGAACTTCTTCCCATTGAGGATGGCAGAGCATTGCAACAGCTGCCTAGGGAGGGTGTGGATTTTCCATGTCTAGAGACATTCCAAACCCACTTCTGTGCCACCCGCTCTCCATAACCCTCCTGGCAGGGAGGTTGGACTGGATGATCTCCAAAGATCCCTTCCAACCCTCAGGATCCTGGAATTCTGGGATGACACTGAATGGACGCCGCTGGTGCTCGGCCACGCACCGAGCCTACGGTCGGGCTGGGTGAGCAAACACGGACCAGGAAGCAAAGGGCAAGGAACAGAGGCTCCATCGAGGGGCGGGGCTGCTCCGGCATCGGCGGTGACTTCTCCGGCCGCTGGCCGGCAAGGACAGTGAGCGGCGGGGGCGGCCCCGAGTCCGGCCGGGATGAGCAGCACCGCCCGGCGCTCCGGGGGCTCTTCGCGACTTTAGGAGCTCCCCAAACACAGACAGAATAGTTTAGAAGGTTTACAGAATAAATACTGCTTATTCTCCAACGGGCGCGTGGCGGGGCTTTCCACAAACCACACCCCGGTGGTAACAACGTGCATCTTTTATAAGGCAAAACGCACATGGACCCGCCTATCTAACCCATGCTCTCCGCCTACTTAGTGCATATTTATCCTGTGATGTAATCTTACGCAATGCTCCAAGCACAAGGTTTCCTTCATTAAGCAACTCGTATTGTAGAAGTTATCTGACGCCATCAGTTGCGTTTACACAAGGTGAGACAACCCAGCCTGGGGACAGAGAATTCAGCTCGGAGGTATCAAGGTGACCTCGGCCGCGGGGAGGCGGCCGCATCCACATCCGGGTGAGGCCAAGCCGGCGGACGGGGAGCTGTGGCGGGGAGCGGGGACCAGGCCGTGACGGGCGCTGGTCCCGGCTGGATCACGGCTCTTCCAGCCCCGGGTCATAGCCCCGCCCGCCGGAATCATAGCCCTACCAGCCCAGGTCACGGCGCTGCCCTCCCGGGTCACAGCCAGGAGCTGCACTGGCCGAGCGGGCGGCAAAGCCCGGCACGGCGTGGCTGTGGGGATAGGCCCTTCGAGGGCCTGCTCCACCTGCCGCCGTTCTCCTGCCTCCACTTGCTTGCAGCCTCCCCTGTTTCCTCCTACCTCCACCTGCCCTCTCCTGCCTCTTCCTGCCCCTTCCTGCCTGCACGTATTTGCACCTGCCTTCTTCCTTCATTTGCCCCCTCTCCTGCGTGACCCATCTGAGCCCTCCCTGTGCTGCAGCACTGACGGGCCTGTGTGGCACTGGTGGTCCTTAACGATGGGGCATAAGGGTCGCTACAAAAGAGGATTCTAGAATTAGTTCAGAGGAGCAGAAGGGGCCTGCCTTCCTTCCCTGTACCTTCCTTCTCTGTACCAGAAAATTGGTGTCCCTGTTAATGGGACAACCCTTGGAGTAGTTCTCCAAGGAGAGAGAAAATCCTGGCTGAGTTTTTTGCTCTTCTACTTCCAAGGCCAAACTATATATGGCCAAGTTTTAAAACATTGTCCAGAATCTTTTAGTTATGAAATACCCTGTGTGATTTTTCAGAAGTGTGTGGGTGTCTAATATTTTTTATTATAAATAGGGTTAGGTGTTGAAGTATTACTGAACATTTCTCAGACTCTTCAGGCATCTAAACCATTTTCTGTAAATCTGGTCTTTAAACATTTTAGGAGTTTCGAGGCTTCTAATCTGTGCAGTAGGGTTGATTGTGTCCTCTTGATACCTCAGCACCTGAGCCCACACTTCTACTCTAGGATACTGTCATGATGATCTCTGCCTGCAGCTTTGGTTCTTGTCCAGAGACTCTAGTTTATCTCATAAGCAATTTTTCTTTTCTATTTTAGCAATTCTTTTATCCTATCAATTGTACACTGGGAATGCATCTTTTGCCACCTTACTGCAGCATTTTAGTGGAACTTAGGATAGTTTTTGTCACAGTGCTTCAACACCTGTTTCAGTAGACTTGCTTAATAGTTTTTGTTCTCGGCACTTCCTGGCTGTTTGCCTTTCTGTTATTCCTATTTTGCTTTTCCACATATATTTTTTGAATATATGACCATGATCTGAGTGCCTCCACATCCATGGCTTGACTGTCTAAAGTAAATGTGGAAATGTAAAGTAAGATGCAAGTGTTGTAATTACTTCTTTGTTTTTCCTTAAGGAGCTCTCAGTTTCTTACTCCCTAATACTGGAATCAGACTGCTGACCGTCCTCAAACACAGACTGCAGGGCAGACAGTGTCTGTTGAGTGCAGTAGTGATCCTCATGCTGGTAGAATCAGAAAGAAGAAAATCAGAGTAGTATTCAAACATGTGATGCTCGGATGCTCAATGAAGGGTAGATAATCCCAGAGCCTTTTTTCAGAGCCTCTTGAAGAGATTCTTAAGAGTATTTTGAAAGAAAGACAATTAAATGCAGGAGATAAATTCATGTGCTCTGTGCCTCAGTGTGTCTGTGTGAATAGTTCCACCAGTAATGCTTTCTGCTGTTAGTCTGGGACATTGAAACTGAGATGGTGTTTTACTGTAACTCAGCTGAGGGAGTAGGTGAGTCATGTGCACACCAGATTGAGACAACTGGCATTAAAATAGGGTCTGTCACCTTTGGATTTGTTTTTATCCAAATCTTTCTCTGATCATTGCTGTAATTAAGTTTAAGGCTTCCTACCAGTTTGATTCTACCTGGAATGGTTGAAAACTGAGCGTAGCAGATGACAGAAACCTCCATGAGGATTTGGAGACACAGTGATCAGTCTGTGCCTCACTAGAACTCCCACTGCAGTTTCAGTCCTTCCACAATTAGTTGGGAGCTCCTTGACTGTCTTCTGCTTGTCTTTGAACATTATGGGCTGTTGGGCCAGCTCCTTCACATTTCTTTCCAAGTGACACAACTACTGCCAGAGCTTGGTGAAGAGTATCTGCTGTCTAGGCACTGTTAGCTGCTTCTGTGGTGTCAGGCTGATGACAGCCACACAGATTTAGAGGTGCCAAAATGCAATTATGCTATGAAACATATTTCTGGTCCAGAGGAACAATTGGATTGCACTCTTAAGGGCAATAACTCCCCAAATCTTTGCAGAACTGCTGACACAGACATCTTAAGTGTGCTGTATCTGTGAGTGCTTGGCTGGATTCATACTGAAAACCCAGCTTCCATGAAAGCTTGCAGCACCAAATGGAAAAAAGTTTGTGGTGTGATGGAAACATACTTTGTGTGAGTCCTTAAATGTTCACAGTGCCTTCCTGCCCATGTTCAGGTCCATGAGTTGTGATCTTGTGTGTGCAGGGCCCAGTATCCTCATGTGTGGTGTAATCTGCTGCTGTCCATCTGTGTAGTGCTTCATGCTCTAGTGCCCTTACAGAGAATTGTGAAAATTAACTTGGTCATAATAATGAAGGAGAAAAATTCTTGTTAAACCACTCTTGATAACTTTTTCAGCTGGTTTGGGTTTGTGGTTATTTTTTTGTTCTTGTTTGGTTTTGGTTTTTTGTTTGTTTTTTGGGGGGTTTTGGGGGAGTCTTGGTGGTTTTTATTTGTTTGGTTGGGGTTTTGGTTGGATTTTTGTTTGCTTTGTTGTTTGTTTGTTTGAGGTTTTTTTTTTGTTTTGTTTTGGTTTTTTGTGTAGGGCTTTCCCTCCAGTACACTCCAAGTCTCAGGCTACAGACTCTTAAGTCATGTAGACTAAAAAGTGGCAGATCTAAGTGGCAGATCATCTACAAAGTGTTTCAAGGTGACTTTCAGACACTGTATTTTAACATCGATTATGCTTCCTTACTTCATTACTTTGATATTTGTTGTAAATTTAACAGTGCATCAGAAATTCAAAGTGCAGGACTTGATTTTCTTTCTTCTGGCTCATACTTCTAATGACTTAAGATTTATGTGGAGATAATTCTTGCTGGTGTTAGTAAAAATAAACTAATTAAATTCAAGGGTTAGATTTATCTTTTCTGATAAGGCCTCTTGCAACCCTAATCTTCTCTCATCACTTTGCACTCTTTAAGCAAAGGTATCTGTTCTCTAGACCTGAATCTCCAGAAGTAGTTATATTTTTACAGATAAAAGTCAAGTGATTTGTAATTTTCTTAATGTAGACTTATATTATCTAAACTTTCTTAGCATACAGTAGGATTTGTATTACTTTGTCCTGAAAAGTTTGGGATTGATCAATGTGAAGAATTTTGCTTTTCTGACATAGCAGGCTTTTTTTCCTTTTCATTGTTCAGTTGGCAGATTTATTTTAGGTGTGACTGAAATGAATTCTGGGGGTTCTGTACACTCTTTCAATTAAACCATTAAAAATGTAAATTCCATTCTAGGGAGCAGTAGGAGAAACAGAATTACGCACCCATAAATTTCTTTTTAAGTAATCACAGAGGACTTTCTGAATTAAGAAAAAAGTGAATTAAGTTTTTTACTTACAAATACAAGTGGCAATGGATGTTCCTCAAGAGATTTTTAGGGATGTAATTGTTATAGAGTTCTTCCGCAGTTTTCCAGCAGCTTTATGTGACATCTGTGTCTGCCTTAAATTTGTTGGCATACATGAAGCTAAAATTTCCTATGATCACCTTGTTACAGACACTGCCTAGTAAACTTTCCCATCCTTTGAATCACAGCTACAGGAATGGGCATAATATTTATAAAGTCACTTTGGATTCTCAGAAAGAGAAATATTTATCATACCTATATAATGCCCATAAAATAAAAGGAGTTTTTTCTGTTTGTCTTTGGAATAATAAAAATTGAGGTTTTGAATGTTTTCCAGAGAAGAATTTGGAAATGGATTTAGCTTAAAATATGTCTTGTGTTATATTTGCAAAACTTCTAAGTTTGAGTTTTAAGAATATCAAGCATGTCAAAACTAAAGAGCTAATTTAATTAAAAAAAAAAGACTTAAAATCTCAGGCAGTTTGTGAAACTCTGAGGTCTATAAAAACTTAGTGAAAATGATACAGGGCTAAATCCTGATTTTTAGGGCTCCCACAAACAACTGTAGTAAGTTTTAGAATGTAGAGTTTTCACCTATTCAGCACTTTCCTTGATTAAAGAACCAAATTTGTACCTCCTTATCTGATAACATATGACACCATAATACTCAAATATTAATTTTGGCAAGATTTCACTTGCAGTGAAATGTAAGTCAGGTTCAGATCCATTCTTCCATAGACCCATTCTTCCAGAGGTTCCAGGAATATTCCTCTCATTTTAGTCCAGTCCTGGAAAAGATGACAAATTTTTGTACACATATATAAATTGATTTTAGGTGACTGTGCAACAGTAATGGTTGGTGCTATTTGTTTGCTTTTGGAAAAAGTAATTAAAATAATAAATGCTGGTAGCAGAGGTGGTTCCAAATTGACACTTTTGCTTCTCTTCATCTTTCCTCATGTAGCAGATGTATACAGGGCAAAGTAATCTCTGCTGGAGGGTAGGTTGCTTGTAGGAATACAGTTGGAATCTGGACTAAGGGCTGACAGTGTTTAAAACTTGGTATCTTTGGAAATGAATGATTTGGGGTGTTCGATCACATTTTGAAGTGCAAAACATCCAAACTCAAATTATTCTTGTGTAAAAACTAGTAATTTCAAGGCTGTAGCCTTAGATCTGTTACTAAAGCTATTACTTTTCCTTCAACAAAGGACTTAAAAGGGATTTAATGTGCTGTGTTATTTATAGAAAAGCAGTTCTCAGGGACATTGCTATCAGTGCTTGAGCATGCTGG